TACATTTATATTTGTGGTTGCATCACTGTGAATCTCCGTACTCTTTTTCCTCGTCATTTACATGAATTGCTACAATTTTACTCCTCAGATTAAATAAATAATTAAACAAGTAGTTTTTCCATGAGATTTTCTATGAATTCGCTAAAAATCAGTAATTTAATATAAATTACAAAATACGTCTTGAATGATATTATACAGTTCATTTATTATTGCACTGACATTACATGGGAAATGAGGAACTTAATTCGAAAATAAGTATCTTCAGTGGCTTCTGAGGGATGTTTAACTGCTTTTATTAATATTCTAAATATTACAACACCCGACACTAATTATACAATAGACATTTTGTTCTTTTTTTTAAAAAAAAAAAGTACCCGTTCATTCGGCAATCAATAATCCAATTCCTCTTTCCTTCGCTCGCAGCAGCTACGCTCCCTAATGAGCCGCGGTACATCACGAGCGGCGCAAGCGAGTGAGCGAGGTGCACGCACGGGCAGGTCGTTTGGGCAGAATTGTCGGGCGGTAATTAGATGATCATTCGGAATGCGGGCGCCTCCATCACTTCCGCCGCATCGTGGAGCGTCCGGGCAAATGACCCAACGCGCTCGTCGCACGCAGCACATTCATTCCGCCCCGCCACGTCTTCTCCTGGTTGGATCCCCCTTGTGGATCACTGGTAACGGCAAAGGCTTCGAAAACGAATGAAGCCGCGTCTCCTCTAATCATCAATGTATCCGTGTTAAATGTATACACGCTAAATGTACACACGTTAAACGTAGACATTTGGCGCGTCTCCACTACTTAATATGTAGGTTACAAACATATTGACCTTTACGTTTTGAACACGTATGTTTTTCACCAGACGTATGCACTTGCACTTATGGACACGTGTAAAGTAAATTGTTCGTTCGGGCAAGATCGTAATTGTGCATGGTAAGATCTGTAAGTATCTCTAGATTTAAGTACGAGTAAAAGAAAATAGTAAAATGAAGAAACAATTGACCTCTTGGTGGCTATGATGATGTGTCCAAATGTATGGAACTTTATGCGAAATGATTAAGAGAATAAATGCAACACATGATGTAATAATGCAGCTGCTCCGGACGCAGTCAAATACAAAATAAACGGGTTCGTAATACAACTGGTAACCACACAAAATATAAAAGTAATGAACGTTAATCTGAATCCGCCTTCCTTCACGACAGCAACCCTTCCGACATGTTAACGAGTGTGAATGCCATGTGATAGTGTAACATATAATGTAAACATTTCGCATGTTACTATTCACAGCATGTATTTGTTTAACATCTAACATTTTGTCAAATAATGAGGATGCCGTCCAAGGTGTAAAACATACATTTCTAATATTTTGTGACTATTAAAAATGATTAAACGCGGGGTTGGAGGTGAATCACGGCCTCGTATGTATTCGTACTTATACTCAAACAAGTAAAAAATGTGAGAGGTAAACAAAAAATAGAAAAATGAACGTTTTTTGCAAGTTTGTGAAATAAATTACACAAACGCACGAAGTAATAACATGGAAGGGAGCCCATTTACTGGAAAATGTTTTAAATTAACCTAGTAGTTTTCAAGAACTATAAAGAAATTCACATCGTGTGCGCCTCATCACTATCTAGTATCTACAAAATCTGTAGTATTTTCATATATTAGAGAATAATTTATTTTCTTCGTCAAACTTCACGTACGCCTCCACAGGTCCTTTCAAACGCTCTGAGAATACAAGTCTCAGTTTATGAACCTCCAATACTATGCACGTACGTCTGATAACGGTTTTTGAAATACAGGAAAAAAGAGTACATGTTCCTCTTTGCTCTCTATGTTGCTTTCTTTTTCATATCTCCAGATATCTATCTTATTTCTAATTTGAACCATCAGTTCCACATTCAGCTCGTTAAACTGGTGTATTCTTACTTCAGCTACTCATTCATTCTACTTGCGATAACACCCCAATATTGCTTTTCAGAGTTAGTTCAACTGTATCTCGAGTAACTGCCTACTTCTACTCTTGCAACTTATTTAGAGATGTTACGAAAAGATTCGAAACTTGCCGAAATGATTTTTTCTGAATGCTGTAAACTTTTATATTCACATTCATCTCAGCTTTATTTTCTCAGCCTTCCTTCATCCCTTCCCATCATCTCGCTCGCATGCCTCATTTGCACAATTCTCCCTTTGGGGCTTTCCGTCTTCTTTTTCCCCTTCCCGCGTCGCGCTTCCTCTCGCCCAGCCCTGAGCCATCGCGCCAGCTGTGCGCCCCGTGAACACGCCACGCCACGCTACGCCGCCCCACCCCGCCTTCATCCCGGGCGAACGCAATGCCGTTCAGCCCGCCTCCAATTGATTTCCCTCTCTCATTAGCGTAATTGAAGTGTAAGCAAATTGAATTAATATTGACCAGGTATTCACCGAATGTGATTTAATTGATTCGGCAGGTGGTCCCCACTCAATCGATAATTTGCATGACACGCTGGATGGAAAGTGCCGAAAATTGAAAATTCTCCTCGTCAAAACGGTGTATTAGTAACAATGTTTAATATGATATTGGAAGTGAAGATACAATACGTTCCAGTTTAGCAGCTTCATCTTAAACCATTATCTCACTTTGACATTGATAATTCACCATTCACAGATCACTGCATTACTTTAATCAACACCGGGTACGTAAATAAACGATTCAGAAGATAGTAAAGAAGGCCTCAGAATTCAACATGTAAGAATGATATTTAAAAGAGGAGTATTTCCACTGAATCCATGAAACGTATTTGAAGCTGGATATTTGCTATCATTCTTACACAATAAATGCTTATGTCAAATTCCAAAGCTCACATGTAAAAATCTCTGATTAATCCTATCTCTCCTTGTTAAAAATGTATAATTTTCAGAAGCCAATAGAAAAACCAAGCAAGTTCATATTTTAGGCGACTTTAAAATAATGCTTGAAGACGACGACTGAAAATTCTTCTCAGCTTTACAAGATTTGCAAGCAAAATGCGAAGTCGTCCAGCATTTACAACGATGTCAAACTTTTAGAATTCTCTGAAGCCGAGAGGTTGGCAAAGGGGCATGATGTGAGGAAAGAGAACCGTTTAAAAGACCGAAACGATGCTCAGGCTATTTCCATGGCCCTGTGGAGACGCAAGTTCATTAGAACTGTATCCTGTAATTGGACTAAAACTAGGGAGGGTCTACCGCAGCGGGCAGAAAGAGAAGACGGACAAAGGTATTTTGGGCAGTCACAAGTAAACACGACATGTTTAAAACTCGTTACTGAATGTAGATGCCAATTAGCACACGAGCCTTTGTGAAGTAAAGGGTAACTGGAGTAATTACCGAACCCTTCATGAAAGAGGAAACGGAAAAGCGAAATCCACGCCTTGTAAGGACCAACGAAAGAACCAGGCCCTTAACAAATTGTTCTCTTCTTTATTGTGGTATTGAATATATGAACAAATTTCCACAAATCTCACTTCAAGGGGTACTACAACTTTACTAATGACAATGTGGATTTAAAAAAAATGGGTGCTTTATTAACTTTTCACTTTTAACTTCCACACGTTAACTTCAATTGAAATTAAAAATGCAGAAAAGTATCATATCGACAAGAACTGAGATTGCTAAATAGTTGAAAAATCGTAAAAATGTTTATTAAGTACGTAGTTTTAATTTATTCAGTTTGAATGTGCGTAAGACAAACAATGTAATTTCGGTCAACTCACATCTCTTATTCACATTTCTACCATAACTGATAATTCCTGTTATCTTCTTCTCTTTCAACTAAATAAAATTTTCAACACACGAAGTATACATTTTAAAACATATGTCTTTATCTTCATTGGAAAATCATAGACACAAATTTGATCGTTGAAACTAATAAATCTCCATTCAAACCAAAATTCGAATTTATTTTTTTACAGACTATTCTCAAACAGCATACTTGAAAGTCGATATTCAAAGGCAGGGAATTAATAATACATTTGTAATACATAAGAAAACAACACTTAACAAAAAAGTTGTACTGAAATACATTGCAAACGTAAGTACATTGTACATACATTCTCACAACTTTTGTGAGGAACGCAAAACAAATTTACTATTATAATTATGCCGAAGAAATCAAATGCAAGCTTGCAATTTAGTTCTACACAATTTGTTAGATTTTCAACTGTGTAACAAATAAGATGAGAGCAATGTTTGAGGAGTGTACGAGGTGATCTACATACGGTCAGCTTGAAATATGAAAGGAAATAATATTTGCCAACCAAGAGAAACAAAACTGTATCACTTTCTTTGAATATTTAATCATGATAACAAAACCTAAGTTAGAACGTCTTATGAGCAGCAAATGGAGGACGAAAAACTAACTATATTGAAAATAGAAACTTTAACAATAAATTATTATTATTATTATTATTATTATTATTATTATTATTATTATTATTATTATGAAAATGAATATACAAATTTGAAGTTAAGTGAGAAGCTTCTTTCTGAACGTTAAGAGATTTTTAAGTCTGATGAACATATGTATAAAATATAGTGCTTGACATATATTTATTGAGAAGTTCTTTTGGCCACAACACTGTCATGAATGCTTTGGTAAATTACCCAACACTGAAGATGTTACAAAATGAAATAAAAAGTAACGAAATATTGCAAACAAATTAAAATGTGTAAGGATATATTATGATAATTAATAAGCAACTAGAAACAGCAATTCCAGATTTAATTCTGAAAGTACTTATTATTTTTGAATAATCTGGCCAAATTATTTAAGAAATGAAAATTGTGAAGACTATGCAAGAGATTTGTTGAATCATGATCCAAATACGCAAATAAATTAAGTAACGTTCTTTAGGTTCGTATACTAATTTTAAATTGTAGACAATACTTCAAATACGTATAACTTTGGGAAACTCAACAATAGGAAGATAGCCCTAAGAAAGTATCAGGAGCAAGGGCAACTCAGAAGAGCTCACCCGCCGCGCCGTTGATAAGTTGCCCGTCTTGCAGCTGAATGGCCACGCCGAAGCCACCCAGCTTCACAGGCGCCGAGTTCTCCTTGGAAGCCAGCAGCACGCAGTGGGGCTTGATGTCCCGGTGGATGATGTCGTTCTCATGGCAGTATCTGAGCGCCTCCAAAATCTGCCGCATATAGTGACTGAAACGAAAACAAAGAGTTTACTTCACGATTCAGACACAAAATACTCTTCGAAATCACGCTGCACAATTCATTCAAATACAGCAATCATTACATGATAAGAATGGAATATGAAGCTATTTAGGCACAATTCAAATTACAATAATTTTGTACCTAACGATTGATCGGGAGTAACTAAACCGATTTTTACGCAATTTCAGCCTGCAAGTTACATGTTGTCGAAAGTATCTAATTAAATTCATGCATTTGCTATTTGCGGTCAAGTAATACTCATTAATAGACTAGTCTGATCTAGAATAAGCAAGTTTAAATTCGTTGTTGATTACTGTCAGTACATAACACTTTCATTAAATTCACATTAAAAGAGTGCGCAATAATGAAATGATGTTCTTACAGCCATTCTCCTTTACTGCTCTTAGTAACCTCAGGCCACTTTTGCGTCCGGCCTGCAGTACTTTCACACTAATGACAAACACACTGAGGATAACTTCAGGTATTACTGTTTAACACGAATGTGAACTGAAAGCTTGAAAGCTCCCTTCATTAGGGAGGAAGAGTATGGATTTATAAGAGGAAATGTGGTAAGGAATCCAAAGAGTGTTTTTGAGAAATACTAGACATAGTGAGAGAGAAAGACAGAGACATTGAAAAATGGACTTGCGTGTGTGCAGGCCATTGACACAAGAAAGAAGTCTGATTGCAATAATGGGCGATAAAAAAGATATAGAATACGCCACGGCTTCCGGAGTAGTATTATAATAAGTATTGTGCCATCGCAAATAGAGTGGTTGGTGGAGAGCTGATGGCAAATGAAGACTGTCAGTAGGGTACAATCCTTCGCATTAAACTGGTAAGCAAGAGCAGATCTAATTAGCATGGCCGGCAACTAACCCGCGCTACTAATGTGGGTTCGAATGAGGAAAGGCATGGATATTTCACCCTCGTGAAAGATTGAATAGCAATATAAATTCTGATCATACTTTCACTAAACTGACACCTTATTTATTTACATACCATTGATACTATTTAAGTGCGATTCGCCATTTGAGAAGTGAAATATTCGAGAGAGTTCCTCTTCTGATCAGAAGATCCCGAATATTTAACGTTTTTCGACGACGAATTGTCATAATGGAAAGTCTGAAGTTTGCCCTATCAGAATGAATACTAAATTCAAAAGGTAATCGGGACAATCAGCTTCTGTATCAATCATTAGTATGTCTCTATGATTCCTTCGTTAATGAAGTATTTGTCGGCGGAAGATTTATAATGAAGTCCCGAATCACAGTACAGACTTAGACAATTTTAATCATGGAAACGGCAACATATGGTAAATAATTAAAAGAAAGTATTCATTTAGATTTCGAAGAAATGAAATGCCCCTAGATTTTTCTGCTTCTTTAAATGCATATCTACTCTATATTCAACACACTTTGAGGAAAATGCGCATAAAAAATAATTCTTATTCTCATGCAGAGGAGAAACTCCAGAATCGGGCCCACTCACATGGAAATGTAATTTTCAAGCGTGTACTGGTAGAATTTGTCCATTGAAAGAGAGCAAATGATAACAAGATTTGAACATCTTATTGTAAGAGCAAATTGTAAGTAATATTGAAAGTACACAATCTTTCTGTAATTTAGACAAATTATTTTAACAAGCAACAAAATATGAGAGAAAATTATATAGTTTCATTAATATCTAGTTACACGTACTCTCGATAGACTATTCACATGAAACTTGCAGTTATGTGACTGAAAATACATGTAATGATTAGAATATGCATTCACATCTAAATAATGAATGTTCTAATTGCAGCAATGTTCAGTATCGTACAATGCGAACAATTAATCGTATGATATATAGTACACAACGCAAAGAAGAAATACTTCTCTGACACAATAATGAATGGAAAATGTTTCATGTGATATATGATGAAATAGATTTTCTCCTGACAACCAAAAGATGACGTAAACAAATATCACATGAACTAAACAAGTTTTAAGCAAAATAGAATAGCTGGCTACAGAATTATGAGATTCCAATTTCTCATAAAAAAGTTACATTTCTATAGAGGAAACATTATCACTTGATTATTACTACAATTCTATGTACGAGTACTATTCATACTTTCCTACTTTCCCATTCAAATGAAACAACTGCTTCATAAAAAAAATTTGATACATGGTAAATTCTGTTTACGGTTAATAGATTGGGGGGAGAATAGATTGCAACAAGCGAATGGGAACAAATTTCCTGGAGGCCATGTGTAGTTTTGTTTTTCCTTCAATGCACAGCGAGCGCCGATGGGCAGGGTGGGAGACGGAAAAAAAAACACGCACGCCTACCGCAGACGGACCGTCGCACGTTAGCGCCAACAGGCATAAACTTCGCTACCATAAAGCCGTGATGTACGGCAGGGAGGCCAATCTCACGAGAATAAAACCGGCCGTATATTTTGATGAAATATTTGATGCCACCGCTGCTTCCGTCGATACTTACGTGCTCGAGCGTGCGGCGGGGCGCGGCCGAATATAAGAGGGGAGGGGCTGTAGGAACAGAGAAAGGGGGTTTGAGGGGGGGAGTGAAAAAGAGAAAATGAGAGACTGTGCCCTGATAAACAGAGAGAAATAAGAAAAAAAATTAAAAATGTGAACGAAATGTTGAGTATGCGGATGGAAACCGGTACAGCTATTAGGAGAAATATCAGGTACGATGATCAAAGTAAGCGAAAACAAAAACAATGTGGGAAGAATCGCATCGTATTGTCTTACAAAATAAAAAGGTGAATTATAAAGTAATACATCAGCGTATTTACACACGACCTCAAAACAGGTAAGGGAGAAAATGTCAGTAAGGGAAAAAACAAAAAGGGAAAAGAAAAGGTTTAAAAAATGGAAAGACAGCGTGTTGTAAAAGTGCATCTCACGCTGAGAGAGAAAATAGAAAATATAGTTTGGTGGAGGGAAACGTTGAAAGTTAATATAATAAGTATGTGGATGTAGAAAATCAAATTCCGTAATTGAACTAAGTCGCCCGGAATTCTTCGTGCGGGGACCGAGATGGATACATTGAAAGCTGGAATATTAATTAGCAAAAAATTACTGATTAAAGTAATTTAATTGTTTACAATAGAACTAATTGAGCTATTGCACACAATACGATATCACATTTCATTTCAGTACTTAAAATCATTAAGGAGGCAGTTGCGGAAGAGGTGAGATTTGCGAAAGTAAAGAGTTAACTAAAATATATATCATTAAGAAAAGAAAAACGCCTGATTAGTGGAACACAAATAACTAATAATACTTCAGTACAGACATACTTCAAAAACATTTTTTATTTTACATCTTAGGACAAAGGTTATTACCTTTGATCACTCACGCTCTTCAGAAATAAATTTAATGCCATTTTTTACCGGAATTGTAATTGTATTTCGTGCGCGACTGATTGATTTCAGTGATGTCCAAGGACGGCAGGTCAGAAGCGAAAGTACAATACAGTATTGAGCACAAGGCAGTGGAGAACATCACTTTGTTAAATATGCTTTTAACTACACAAAGACACACATATTACGAAATGCACATATTTTAGACCGCATGTTTGACATTAGCTTATACTTCCTTAAAAACCCGTGTCACTTTAAAACAAATTGAATTTATTTAAATGTATTATTTTTTATGTATTAAGTGGGATGGATATCATTAGAAAGGTCGGACTGTTGGTGTGATGTGTGGTATGTGTGTTGTATATATGATGTGTATGATGCGCATTGTGCATGTTGGTAGGAGAACCATCTCGTCTCACCCCACTTTCCTACATCTTTAATGACATACATTCCACTTATACATAAACTAGTGGCGCTACAACATCAGAAACGTTTTCGCAACATTTCACCATTTTACAATTTTCGAAAATTTAGAGAGTTGAACGAAAATGACGTACGCCATTCTTGTAAACTTTCCTAGTTGTCTCCTTACGAAGAGTTTTAAGAAAAACATTGGAGCAGTGTTAGAGAAAATGTTTTTTTTTTACAATTCCTCGCAGAAATCACACAAAACCTTCATGTATTTTCAAGTAATTTTATTGTACATGATTTTTTTTAAGATCTCAATGTTTAGAACATATTTTATTCAAGAAAAATATATATCATCAATATTGTTCTTTTGTAATGTTAACTTTTTGTAATTTTATAAAATTCAGAATGTTCGCTGCAAACAGGACCAGCGCTACTTATTTTACCGTCCTTTACGAGCCGAAAAAATAGTTTTTTTTAAAAATTACCTATGTTTCAAGCAAGTACTACGTGAACGCTTACTCATATTTTCGAACAATTGTATATCACGTGCATCACAATAATTTGTGGATCTCACTTTGAAGAACAGCATCCATTCAGGAAAAATAATCCATCTTCAATTTTGTAGTCATAGGAAGATATATTTTTAAATTTTCGAAAAATAGGTATCTTAACGAAAACGAAACCTGTACCATTCTCTCAAACGTCCCTCACAGTTTTCAACAACATATTTAATGAAAAACGATGGGCGCCATTTTCTTTGAAAATTTTGAAAATATTTCAGGGGCTTCAAGTCAAATACCTCCCAAAATTAAAATATCGGTTTCAAATTCAAGGTGCTGCGACATCACCCAGATTGATATTCCCCAACTGATCTGCCGGCTGAACGGTTTAACAGCTATCGTTGTTCACAGATGAACGGACAGTAAGAGAGACAGGTTTTGCCATTATTCGATTTTTCTGTTTCAAGGATCCACAAAATATGAATTCTGGCAACACCACATGCTAGAGAATTTTGTCCCAAATTTACCAACTGGATTTATCCACTTTTCCGTCACAGGACCTGACATTTGGGTGTTCCTGCCGAAAATTCGCCATTTTTTCCCGCAGCATTACATAACTCCATTCTTATAAACTTAAGGGTGAGAAATAAAAAAGGTTTGGTGTGAACTGTGGCGTGTGGCGGCGTGGCCGTGTGAAGGCGTGG